ATATGATCTTTTTTTTTTTGTTCAAATATATCAGTATGTTTTTTTTTTAATCATAAAAAACTGACAATTTTTTTTGAAATTGTTGTATCACGAATTTTCTGAGAATTGAGGCATGTTGCTCATGTCTTATTTTTGAAGCTGTTTTCTGAAGCAAATGAGTCTGTGTTCTGTATTCGTAAATTTTTTTTTTTAAAATGCTCGAGAGTAAACCTATCTCACTCTCAAAACGTGATCAAAGTCATTTTTTTTTCTTTCAATTTACAAGTTATTTGCCTGAAATTTACACTTCAAAGCGCGCGTTTTTTTTTTGCATATTATTAGAAAAGTCTTGTAACTGAGGAGGTTACAATAAAACGATTTTTTTTTTACAGACAATACAAGCTGATCGTGCGTCAAGACCGAAAAACTCCTTAACTTTTTTTTGGAAATCAAGATGAAATTGATTTTTGCATAGCATTTTCAAAAATACATCATTTTTTTTTTAGTGAGGTTTCCTCTTTGTAATCTTTGTTTCCGGTTTATTGGAAGAGATGTATAGCACATGCTCCTCCCTCAATTCAAAGAAAAGACAAATAAACTTCGCAGCTTCTTTTTTTTCAAACAACGGTTTTTACGTATACTGTAATAAGGATAATTGTTGAGGGATTTTCAACATAATAGGATGCAAGCGCACCCTAATTACTGTCGCCATTCTAATCATTGAAGTTTTTTTTATTGATAGTTAGTCCGATCGACAACAGGCTGACTGTCATTTCTATAAAATAAAGATCTTCAATGAGGGTTTTTCTGGTTTTGTCCTTGTCCTTCAAGCCAGAAGATGATTGACTGGAATATTATCCATCAAAAAACGGAATTATCCAAATCAAAAACAGCTTTTCTGCACTCGGACATTTTCCATCTCCCCGACTAGCCTTTTGAAAAATCTGGTATGTGAAACTTTTTTTTATCAACAGAAGTTCGGTGTTTCCAGCTTTAATGAGGTTATGCAATCACTCTTTTTTTTTAATTCATATATAGATGTTTCGATTCTTACTTGTTCACTGTGTTCAGCTTTTTTTTTTAAGATTAGAAGCAGAACACCCCACGTAATAACGTGACGTACACTATGGAATTTTTTTTAATATTTGTCTTAGGTGTTGCATGAGAGTGAATTGTTTGCTGTTTTTTCTTTTTTTTTACAGAGATTAGTCCATCTATAGATCTTTCGATTCTTACTTGATTTTTCACTTTTTTTTTTTCGATTAATGTACACAATAATGCCAAGATGCCAATATTAGAGGCAAAATTTTTTTTACCACCAGGGAATGCACGTGATACCTCACGTGATCGTGACGTACGTAGTGTTTTTTTTACCAGTCTGATTKCAAAGATTGATTACACGCTCCTTTTAATTTGTAAATGATATTTAAATCTTAAACTTTACGACATTTCTGCAGATATAGTTTGTTTAATTTCTCGATTTTTTTTTTTCATTGGTCATCTTAGTCTCAACTGTGACATTGGAGTAATTGTTTTCAGACTTTTCTCCTTTCGCTACGTTACTTTTAGTTTCTATCGACGTATCATCTTGCGAGACTACTCGTTTTGAATAACACACGATAAACTTGCGCAAGACCTTCTTGAAATGAGGCATCCTCCATGCGTACAAATACGGGTTAATTGCCGAGTTCAGCAACACTATGACAAACTGTAGGTCTCGCAACCAGTGCACAAATTCGCAATGGCAAATGGTGCAAAAGTTCAATATGTTTTTTTTTATACAAACTGGGATGAAGCAGATTATGTACGCTAATAGTACTAACACCAACGCCCTTGTAACCTTTGCTTGACACCTCGTAGCGCTMAGCTCTTTTTTGTGCTCTCTCTTTCGCTTGATGTTGGAATCTTTGCGAAGRCTMAGYTGYTTGGCTTGCAGGTTCAAGCTTTTTTTTATACTGATGTAGACAAAAAGTAGCACCACGAACGTYAAGACCACTGCAGTTTTTTTTTAAATCAGAGAATAAAATATGTACCCTAGCTTGAAATAGACTCCTGAAATRTTTTTTTTCATTACCCATATTAAAGCTGACACAATCATGGATCGTTTTGCAGTAATGCTTTTTTTTTTCACCGGGTGCACAACTGCAATATAGCGATCGATGGTAAGAGCAGCTAGTTTTTTTTTCGAAGCTGTAGAAAGGATGAAGTACARCATATGGAGAAGACGWATRTCTTTTTTTTTTTCGCTCGGCAAGCCCTCGGTTAGATGGAAGATGAAAGAGATCGGGTCCATTTTTTTTCCCACCAGCAAGTCAGTCAGTGCAAGACTTAGGATAAGGTAGTTRAAAGGTTTTTTTTGCTCATTGAAGGGATCTTTGATGATAGCATAACAGATTAGCAAATTTCCGTTTTTTTTGATCAAACATAAGCACAGMGAAACAGTTGYTGTGAAGWACGAAAGATAAGTTTTTTTTCCATAGTTCGAACAGTCTGCCATCTTCAGTGCTGAGACACRCTTGYGACATTTTTTTTCGAWATTGGAAAATCTTCTTTTTTCGGAAATGAAGCCTTTTATATATCTGTTTTTTTTATTAATTCAATTATTTGAAAACGGAAAAGAAAACTCCACCAATCTGGCAATTTTTTTTTCAGCAAATGGATGTCCTGGAGCGATTAGCAAAGTGATATTTATAGGGAATTTTTTTTTTAACAAACCACCAGGCCGCCAATGTTCTTTGTAAACATTGAATGACATTTTTTTTTTAGAAATGACATTTTTCAATAATATTCACAAGTTCGACTTATTGCTAAAGGTTTTTTTTACGTTGCATAATTCCAAKATAAGCTCTTTCATAATTTGAATTGTTTTCGGTTTTTTTTTCTTTTCGTCCGAAAAGGCTCTCGTGACACATTTATTTATTTTTTTCTTTTTTTTTTTAATATCTTTAACTGTACTAACATAAAAAAACGAAATTGGTAATGTGTGCATTTTTTTTTAAACAGATAAAAACAAATTAAAAATTCTGATATGTTTGTCTGCTTTTAATTTTTTTTAACATCAAAGTTACTAAAGAAAAATATTAAATATATTATAGGATGATTAATTTTTTTTGTAAAACAAGAATAAAAGTTGAACAAACTAACGCAATCAAACGATCACTGTTTTTTTTTGCACAAACAGATCAAACGCGTCTATGTTTTGTCATTCAACKTTTTAATGTTTTTTTTTTTTTTTCATTGAAATTAGTCATTGTCAATTTGTGCTAACACTTAAGATATTTTTTTTACGATATGAATCATGCCGCGATGGAATAAGAAGAGGTTTGATAAGTAATATTTTTTTTGCAGACCGCGATTGATTCAATATGAAAAAGTCAATAACAAAGCGAATAGATTTTTTTTGAACGAAAAAAAAAAAGCAAAAATAGAATTTAAGTATGGGAAAACGCCCATTTTTTTTCATTACTGATTTAGGGATTGAAGGAAATCTTTTTATCTGTATATTTATACTTTTTTTTATTTTTGTTTTGTAATAGGAGAGGTGTTTTTCCCAGAAGGACGGGGGAGATTTTTTTTTCTGTTAGTAATGTTTTAATTTCAGACTCGCAAGGTATAACATTTTAATTTTTTTTTTTTCTAGAAAACACTATTCAATTCTCTATTAACCTGTGCCAAATGATCGTGTTTTTTTTCTAAAAAGATGTAGCCTTGATACATCTAGGCCTAAAAAGTACATGAGTGTTTTTTTTTGAGAGACTGCCCTCGAAAGTTTTCCTTCAAAAGACGGTGGAAACTAGTTGTTTTTTTTTATATAAATCTGCTCCGACGTGGCATTAAAGTCCAAAACGTCAACAAKTCTTTTTTTTTACTTTTTTACGGTGTTAGAATTTATCTTTTTGTACAATTGTTTCCCTCATTTTTTTTTYGTTTAAGCACTCTTTTCAACTCGAAGATAAAAACCGTATCTCTACGCGTTTTTTTTATATCCTCTATTATAACAATGTTGTTGTTTTATTTGTATATAAATAAGGCTTTTTTTTTATAATTATTAGCGTCCTGTATAGATAGATATTTTCTAACCCTGCATAATTTTTTTTTTTTTTCTCTTTTATAATTCGAGCATTATGAGTTTGGTAGGATTTTTTTCATTTTTTTTTGCTGCTCATAAAATCAATCTAAAAGCCCGTATTGAGCTCTGGCTCAATTTTTTTTTTTCGTTGGCTTTTGATTTCAGAGCAGTGGGCGTTACTTTGAAAACAATCTTTTTTTTTTAAAGAGGCAGAAAAAATTGTAAGAATGTCAGAACATTGGCGCCATGATCTTTTTTTTTTCGATCTCCTCCACTTTTAAACAAAAGTTAGTTTATTTTTCAGTCAACAGTTTTTTTTCACTAAAAAGTTTTCAAATTAATAATAGGAATTCCCGGACACGTGCAATCTTTTTTTTCAAAAGATTGAAATTAAAGACCTAAACAAATAAAAAGCTCTCTCAATCTCTTTTTTTTCCCTCCCCTCCCCTCCCCTCCCCTCCCAGAAAACAGTGTTGTTTGCAATTTTTTTTTTGCGATTTACGAAATACAACTTCCATAGAGTGACTACATGAGTCAAGACATTTTTTTTTTTACTAATATATACTCAAATTTAGCACTCTATAACAACTTTAAAAACATATTTTTTTTTCTATGTTCAAGATTATGCGCATGAATCCCACAAAAACCCTCACTAYACATTTTTTTTTTTCTTTCAAGAAGAATATGGTTTCAAAATGGCCGCCTTGCAAAATATCATTTTTTTTCAAGAGATGGCACAAAAAAATCGTAAGAGGAATCCAAAAAAATTAAAAAATTTTTTTTCGTTAAAAAAATAATAATTGGTATTTAGTATAATAACATATTTGAAAAACTTTTTTTTTATGCGATACAAACACGAGTAATTGTGACAACGAGCCTTATATTTTCGATTTTTTTTTCGGTATATTAACACGCGATATTCATATTTTTGGCATAACTTTACATGCAATTTTTTTTGTAATCATTTAATAATTAATATTTACATTTACATTTGATGTAATTTCTCGTTTTTTTTAGTCATCACAGATTTGTAAAATGTTATAAAAATAGAAACTTTGAAATCGTTTTTTTTTAAAAAAAACTCAGGAAAATCAATTTAGTAAACTACCCTCTTATCTTTCTTTTTTTTTTCTTTCAATAAACAACTATAAACAAGGAAGTCTCCTAACGGAAGATATTTATTTTTTTTATCAATTGTGTCATAAAGCGCTTGCTATGGTACTTTCTATAATTGAAGTCTTTTTTTTCTTTTGTTCCCAACTGCTTGCTTGGCAAATCCACATTCGTTTCGGAGAAATTTTTTTTAATGCATTTTTGATATCTGAAATGATATACACAATATAATAAATATTAATTTTTTTTTGACAAAATGTATCAAAATTCCCATATTTTGGTATATATAATCTTTTGTCTTTTTTTTTAATTATGGTAAACTTACATCTTGTATCGGCTGCATTCTGAATCTTCAATTTTTTTTTTCTGACGCAAGCTTGAAACCTTTAAAAAGGGTTTTGTTCTTAAATAAATTCTTTTTTTTTATATAGCAAGTGCTTTGGAATTTCTCAATAGATATAGTCAAGAGATATTTTTTTTTTCGATACATTTTAATATATTTTCCTTTATGTTTTTTGGGCTCATAAAAAGATTTTTTTTCGTTTTCAGCATGTTGTTC